TAATGAAAAGTTCATAGAAGAGTATTCCCATATACCTTGTACCCTGATTCACCTAGCTGCTTACCTTTTGCTTATTTGTATTTGCATCCATTCATTCTCTCTCTCTTCTTCATTCCCTCTATCCTGCTTTTCTCTCTCTCTTTCCTCTTGCCTTCTTCCCTCCCATGTTTTCTTAAAGTCATTGGAAAATAAATGGGAGGCATTTTCCTCTTTATTCTTAAATATTTCAAAGTGTATTTAATAACAAGGGCATTTTCTTTCTTAACTACAGTATGAGGATTAAAATCAGGAAATTTAATGTTGATAGAACACAGTAATGCAATCTACAGGCTATATTCAGATACTGTTGATTTTCTCAATAATGTCCTTTATGGCTATGTATATGTGTCCTTGTTTTTGTGTGGGCATACAGTTCATTCTGAGAGTGGCTATTTTTTCCTGGTCCAAGATCCAATATAAGATTACAGTTGCATTTGGTTGCCATGTTTCTTGCCTTTATTTGAGACAATGTTCATGTTTATTTAATTTTTTTTTGGTCTTTCATCACCTTGATACTATTTAAGAAAGCAGAGAAATTATGTTGCAGGAGGTTTCTCAAATTTGAGTTCATCTGATTTTCCTCATGGTTAGATCCAGGTTTAAGGTCAGTGTGTCTTTCAGTTTTAAGAGGAACTGGTATTTCATCATTGCAGAGTTTTAGAGTGAAAAGATGGGGGAAATGTAATGCCCTGCAGATTCTCAAGTGGGGTGAGGTGGGTATAGTAAACAGGAGAGGTATTCTGAAGGTGCTCATCTACAAGTGAATGACTGTATTCTGAAAGAATAGTTCTCCGAGGGAATTCACCCCACCAATAATGGAGGCAAGTAGATCAAGAGAAGAGGAAGGCACAGCCTCTCTATTTTCCTTGATAAGAAATCAAGTGTAGGTAGAATTCTTTCTTGTGTAACATGGAAATAAATTAAACATCTGAAGAATGGTCTCTTCTGCCTCGGAACCTCAAAGTTTCTTGGTGCCAGGAGACATAAATAGGCTTTCTGCTCTTCTGTAGTAAATCCGTGACTGTCTCCACATAATACCCACACATCAGGCAGAAGATGAAAAATGCAGCCCAGCATCCACCATCTTTTCAGAAAATGACCAGACGTGTTCTAAAAAAATGTTCTTAGTCTAGATATGGGCAATGTCTTTCATCGTTGAGAACACTGAGACTCTTTAAAAACAAATGACTTTTGAAAAAAGCAGAGTGATAGAAAGGACTGTGTTATAGTTGGAAACAACAGGAATAAAATGATTGCAAGTAAATGCTTTCTTTTGGTGCCATGCACAAAGTTATTGATCTTGAATGTACTGAAGTTTAGAAGTGACACAGTTTGGTTTAAATGTCCCCTCCAAAACTCATGTTGAACTTTAATTGTCATTGAGATGGTATTAAGAGGTAGGATCATTAAGAGGTGGATTAGGTCATGAGGCCTCCACCCTCATGAATAGATTAATGACATTATCTCGGGGGCTGTGTTCCTTATTGTGAGAGTGGATTGTTATATAAGCGAGTTCAGCCCCTTCTTGCTCGCTTGAGCACTCTTCCTCTTCCATCTTCTGCCATGGGATAATGTAGCAAGAAGACCCTCACCAGATGCTGGCACCTTGATATTAGACTTCCCAGTTCTGGAACTATGAGAAATAGATTTTTTAAAAGGTATTCTGTTTCAGTTTCGGATATTCTGTTATAGCAGCAGAAAACAGACTAAGGTAAAAAATTGGTACAGAGAGTGGGGTTATTGCTATAACAAATACTTGAAAATGTGGAAGCAGCTTTGGAGTTGGGTACGGGGTAGAGGCTGGAACAGTTTTGAAGTAAATGCTGAAAAACTGTATTGCTGTGAATGGAGTGTTAAGGGTGGCTCTGGTGAGGGCTCAGAAGAGAATAGCTGTAGGAAAAGTCGGAGACTTCTTAGAGATCACTTAAGAGGTTGTGATCAGAATGTTAGAAATATGGATGATAAGGGCCATTCTGATGAAGTCTCAAGCAGAAATGAGAAACATGGTATTGGAAACCAGAGTAAAGGCAATCCTTGTTTTAACATGGTAAGAATTTGGCTGAATTGTGTCCATACACTAGGGTTTAGAAGATTCCATTAGAAGATGGAATTTAAGAGCAATGATCTAGATATGCGGCAGGAGAGTGTTCAAGGTGCTACATGGCTTCTTCTGGGTACTTACAGTAAAATGAGTGAATAGAGACATTATTTAAAGACAGAATTTACAATTAAAGGGGAAGCAGAACAGAAAGATTTGGAAGACTCTCTGCCTGTCCATGTGAAGAATAAAACAGTGTATTTGGGAGAGAGTACTAAGGGTGTGGTCAGGCAACCATTTGCTAAAGAGATTGATACAGCTAGGATGGAGCCAGGTGCTGTTAAAGACAATGAGAGAATTATCCTGATGGTATTTCAGAGATCTTTCAGGCAAGCTAGCACCTGGAGGGCAAGATTTCAAGAGGGGTACCTGTGGGACCTCAGCATTCAATACCCTGTGCAGCCTTGGAATTCTCCCCAAATTCCAATGCAGCACCCCTCAAGCAGACCCAGGTACAGCTAGTGCCAGAGCTTCAGAGGTCACAAGTGGTATGCCTTGATGGCATCCACATGGTGCCGATCCTGTGGAAGTATAGAGTGCATGAGCCTTGGGGCCATGGTCACCTCCACATAGATTCCAAAGGATGTATCAGACAGTCTGGGGTCCTGGTAGAAACTTGTTACAACTTGTCACGAGGGAGGACCCACCACAGAGAGCATGTACTAGGGGGCAGTCCTTAGGTGGAACCATGGGAGTGAGGCTACCTCAGAGACTCCCGAAATGTAGAGCTGCCAGTGTACAACTCCAGCCTGGGAGAGCTGCAGGCACAAGACCCCAATCCAAGAGAGCTGCTGAGTGGATGGGGTCCAGCAAAGCCACAGGGGCAGGGCTGCCGGTGGTGTTGGTAACCTAATTCCTGCTGTAGCATGTCCAGGATGCAGGACATACAGAGCCAAAGGACATTATTCTCCAGCTTTAAGATTTAATGTTGTTTTACCTGTTGGGTTTTGGACATACTGGGAATGAGTTACTTCTTTCCTTTTCCTATTTCTCCCTTTTGGAATGGGAATGTCTATTTTATGCCTATTCCATCATTGTGTTTTGGAAGTAGATAACTTGTTTTGATTTTATAGGCTTACAGCTGGAGGGCATTTGAGGTGGGATGAATCTTGAGTTTCATATCTGTTTAGATGGAACTCTGGACATTGGGCTTTTGAATTGGTGCTTTTGGGCTATTGAGATGGAATGAATACACTTTGTATGTGAGAAGAACATGAGTTTTGGGAGGCCAGAGGTGGAATGTTATGACTTGAATGTCTCCTCCAAAACTCATGTTGAAATTTAATTGCCATTGTGCTTTGGACTTCCCAGCCTCTAGAACTGTGAGAAATAAATTTCTTTGTAAATTACTCAATTTCTGTTCTGTTATAGCAGCAGAAAACAGACTAAGACATGACAAGAAAGAGTTAATTCTTTCAAGTAAGTGCCTCAGGTGCACTCTGGGAAAATATGACTGAATGAGTTACTGCTCAGCCTAAAATTAAACTCCTGGCTTCTTGTCTGGCATAAGAACTATTAGATCGCATTACTTTCCACTGATGGATCTATCTTTTTAATGAATTGAAAAAAGAATACCCAGTGGTTCCTTTTGTATGAAGAAAATAAGATAAATATTAGCCAGGAAAGGTCATTTTGGTTTTCAATATGTGGGGAGTTCATTATGATGGGTTCTGATAAATTATATTGTGTAGTTCTTTCTGATAGCAGAAGGTCACATCATGCCCTTGGGTGGACATAAGGACAAACATACTTAATAAAGTTGGAGGATCTGGGAGATGAACATTTTCAAGTTTTTTTTTTTTTTTTTTTTTCTGAGCAACTCATATTTATACAGTTATTTAAAGCCATTTCCCTCTTGTTGAACTAATTACTCAAGGCCCATACTCTCCTATATGCAGCCCCAAAGTGGTGAGTCTTTAAATTTATTACCGAAAGTATTCTCTAATCAAACTTGTGGAATTGTCTTTGGGTTATCCAAGAGAAAAATCTCAGTTGTGCTTGGTGGTGGATTCTTAATTGGTTCTACAGGATTCTAAAGTAATTAAACTGCATTTCAAAAATCATTTTTATGTTATATTTGCAACTTGAATATTTATTAATGCATATCATTATTTTTCTCTGATCGCCACCACTGGGAGGGATGTATTTAACTTAGCATCATTACAAATGGTATCGTTTCATGTTCTATTTTTTTCTTAAGATGTCTTTGCTTTAGGATCATCTGACTCCTTTTACAAATGTGTTCACTAAGTAGAAAAATCCTTTTAGGTTTGTGCATTGAGGGAGTGTCAATTATAGTATTCACAAGTGTTCTTTATATTTTGATATTGTGGATTATATTGGAAACACTTTTTCTCTTGGTGTTCTATTAACATTCTTTCAAAAAGCAACCTTGTAGATATTCTAGCATCATCTTCAGGCTTATGTCACACAAATCTAAGAATTCAGATCTTTGTGCTGGCTTTTCCACTGCTCTATGGGCTTGGGCAAATTGCATGTCTTGGGAATGCATTATCTCCAACTTCCATTTTTGCCTGATGGTCAATGAAATGGGAGAGTGAAATTTGTCCATTTCAAATGATTTGGGGCCCTTTGTTAAATTTTGAATACCTTTCCTGCTGCAGGAAGTTCTTTAAAACTATGTTATGTTAACTAATATGTGGCTAGTTAATGACTGTAGAATTCTGTATCTTTTCCTCCCTAATATTAGGACACCTCACAACTATGGATATGTTTGGCTGTCTGCCACTTGCCTGAAACTGCAGGTGTCATGGTTAAAAACCATTATTTTGCTACTGGAAATTAGTTTCATTTTAATATTAAAATGCTAATTGATTCTTTTTTTTTGGCCTTTTTAACGTAGGTCTTCTGAGCTATGATACTTTTTTGGAACGGCAGAAATGATTGGTTTAGCTACAGATGGGAATTTGGAGTCACTCTGAAATACATCCTGGAATAATTGTGTTTGACTAGAACCAAATCTTATGAGGTCCCCAAGGTAAGATTATTTTAACGTTTACCTGGACATGATATCTTTACAAAGTATTGAGAATTTAGCAAAAGTGAGTATCCTGGAGTTGATGATCCTTTTTAGAAGCCTGCTTTTACACAGACTTTTTGAGAATTTGGGGAAATGTTGATCTTTTCATTTTAGCTTTCGTCTGTGGAATGAAAATGATTTCAGTTTGCAAAATAGTACTTTGGTTTATTCAGTAGGGGAAAAGATGAGGAAATATAAATCTATTGCTGACTAGCTTTCTGGCCCCACCCCCACCACTGTGACCTGGCATTTCTCTGGGGGAGTGGTTGTTGAGCTACTGTTAAGTGAATACTTGTTTTAGGGACTGGGAACTTATTGCTACTCACCCAGCAACTCGTTACATTGAATTGTCCACATAAGAAGATTAGGGATCATTGCCCAGGATTTGGAATGTCTGCCCTTGAGACTTTTGATTTAAGGCATTTGTTGTTGGAATCCAACCAGAAAAACAAACTATTCTGCTGACTTTTTCACTGCTCCATGAGCTTGGGTAAATTGCATGTCTTGGGAATGCATTATCTCCAACTTCCCGTTTTTGTCCAGTGGGAAGTGAATTCAGGAGACTGGTTATACATACGATGGGAGAGTCAGGGAAACTGAGCAGAAGATACACAGGAAGCCACTGCCATCCCCTGGCTGGGGACCATGGAAGCAGTTAGTCCGTGAGGAAGCAGTGCCTAGAAGAAGGAAACTAGAGTGGAAGCTAGAACCACAGTGGGCCCTTCTGGCAGGAACTGGAGCCATGGTGGAGAAATGGCCACTCCACAGATCCTGCTAAAGACAGAGAAGGCAGGGAGAGATGTCCTGGCCTATCCCTTTTCCTATTCTCCAGGTTCCAGCTGTTGCCTTTCCTTGACTGAATCCAGCCAGTAACCAGCTGACCTGGGAGCCTGGGAAATGCAGCCTACAGGGCCCGCCAGCCGTCAATACCGGGGAAGGGGGAAGAATGGATCTGAAGGCAAAACAGGCCCAAGCTGTCATAGAATTCATATATTTAAAATAAACTTTTGTTTCTTTTTCATTTTATAATATCACTTTCATTACTGAAGAACATCCCATCTCATGGCTGTGTCATAATTTGTTTAACCAGTCTCATACTGTTAAACATTTGGATCATTTGGATCATTTTTTTTGTCTTTCCCTCCCTGCCTCCCTGCCTCCCTGCCTTCCTGCCTTCCTGCCTTCCTGCCTTCTTTTTTTGAGACAGGGTCTCCCTCTTTGCTCAGGCTGGAGTGTGGTGGTACAATCATAGCTCACTCCTGCCTTGAATTCCTGGCCTCAAGCAATCCTTCCACTAGTCTCCCAGTGTTCTGGGATTACAAGCAAGAGCCACCATGCATGGCCAGATCATTTTCAATAGTATAAACAATAAAAAAAAGTCCCATACATTGCTGGTTATTTCTTTAGGGTTAAATCCTATAAGTGATCTGCTGAATTGTAAATGCTTGACACACATGGTCAAATTATCTATCAATTTATGGTTTTATCGAGTGAAACCCTTTCTCTTTGATTTAGATATATTTCATTCAATTATTGCAACAGTGGGACATTATTTTAAATATTTTAATTGCTTTCCTTTGAGTGTAGGTGGCATTGTGGTTATGATGAGAGTCACATCTTTTATTAAATTACACCTGTAAGGCATAGATGAAGGGATTTCACAGGTGTTTTTAAGGTTCCACATACACTGAATTTAGTTAATCAAAAGAGAGATTATCCTGGGTGGGATTGGCCTAATCAGATAAGCCCTAAAATGAGACTGAGCCTTTCCTGGAGGAAGAGATTCAAACCATGAAGGAGCTCTTGCAGGGGCCATGTGGCAAAGATGTGAAGGGCTTGAGAGTAGTTCCTGGTTGATAGCAAGAATACAGGGAATACAGAGAGTCCCAAGAAAATGGCTTTGGCCAACAACCTGAGGGCACTTGGAAGTGATCCTTCCCCAGTTGAGCCTCCAGATGAGGACACACCCAGCTGACACCTTGATTTTAGCCTGTGAGTTTCTGAGCAGAAGACCCAGCCAGAACATGCCAGACTCCTGACTTACAGAAACTATGAGATAATATATTGGTGGTGTTTCACACTGCTCCTGTCCAAGCACTAACTAGGCCCGACCCTGCTTTGCTTCTGAGATCAGGTAGGTTGAGGGTAGTATGGCTATAGATTGTTATTTTAACTTCTAAGTTTGGTAATTTGCTTCAGACATTGCTAACATTCTAAACTTACACAGAAACATGGAGCCTGTCTGCTTCGAAGGGCCTTTAGTTTCTCAAAGCATGCCCATGCCTTCCATCTCTCCCACCTCAGTGTACGCACGTGAAGGGGACAGAAACTCTAGAAGCAGCTTGAAAGGTGGCAAAGAAAATAATGTGTGGATCTTACATGAGTTCTAGATGCTATTATCAATCACATAATTTGGGGGAAGTCCAGAGGCTCAAATTTCTGTATTTGATGATTTTTGTTTTTTTGTAATGGAACACTCTGTCTCACACATAGTGTTCTAAAATTTCAGTTTATTATCCCAGTGTCAGCTATCGATCTATTTGTTACAAAAGCTTATTTCTCTTACCCAAGGATCAGAAGTACAAATGGCCATATGTAAATGAGTCGGGCTGGTTGGGCCCAAGGTACTGACTGCTGGGAGGGACTGTGGAGACCTGTCTAGGGGCAGCTGTGACCACCCCAGCCTGTTACTCCCATGCAGAAATGTGAGCCCAGGGATGCCAGGAATAATTTTTAAAGAGAATCTGGATTCTGATATGCAATCTGGACATTTTGTGTGTTGGCAACCAATTCAAATTTTTTTTTTTTTTTTTAAAAGCACAGATCAAACAAAACACATTTGCAGGCTGGATCAGATAGCCTGGCTTCCAATTTGTCATAATTAGTGGCCCCAAAAGGGAAAATTTCAAGGCATCACATAAATGAAGGATTAATTTTCTATTGCTGCATTGCAAATTACCCAACATAGACATTTAAAACCATTTTGAAACAGTTTAAAAGGGCAAAAGGAAGCCAATGCTTTTTGTTACCTTTAACACCAAGTTCTTCAAAGATGATTGTCTTGGCTGCTTAAAAAGCAGACTAAATCTGAAATCAATAAGCAATACACCCTTTAACAAGATCTATTTGACTGAATTGTGAGAGGTCGCGGGGAGAGAAGGTTGGCAGCAGAACATGTGTGTGCCTCGGAGTATGGTGTGGGCATTCAGTTCCCCTGAGGCTTTGATGTGTTTTCCTGGAGCAGGGAACTGGGACTTTGGTAGAGGCACTGCTAGGTTGCTGGCAGCTGGAGATGCTTCCTTAGAGGACTTCCTTAGGAGTCTCGCCTATAGTGTGACTCAGGCAAGAAGCCAAACTCAGGTGCCATGTTTTTATTGTCGGCCCATAAGTGTGTATACATTTGCATATATTAAACGGGGATTTCTTTGATCCGTTGTGGTAATAAGATGCCATGAGGCATGTGTGAGGAAGAACCTAATTTCAGATGCCAAATGCAGTGACTTTTGCTTGAACAGTAAATTTAAAAAAAGCAAACAAAGTTAATCAAGTTCTATCTACTTAATTCCCTTATGATGTTATAAAAGGGCAGAAAATTAGGCAGCTGGGAATAATGTTTTTGATATCCTCCTTTTTTTACTCTTTTGTTTTAGAATAGACCATACAACCGTAACATGAACTGAATTGTCTTTGAGCAACTGTTTTGATACTGTCCATCATATGAAGTTAAATTTATTTTATATTCACCTGTATTTGCCCATACTCCTCCCCAAAGGAGGAGCTGAGATTGGTTTAATCAACTGTGAACCCAGTTTTGCAGACCAGAAAGCCTTAGTGTACAGTCAGAGAAACCAGGCGAAAGTTCTCGGACCACATGTGCAAAATCTCCATGGATTCTTTCAGATCCAGAAATCATATGTATTTTATTTGGATCTAGCTCTACGTGTGTTGCTTTTACATCTCATGGTATAAAATAGAATAAAATCCCCATGCTCTATTAGGATAACTCAAGCAACAACTTGCAGATTCATAAATTAGCTTCTCAGCTTCTCACTGATGCATAGGGCTAACTCGGAAAACTCTTACTTATCAAAGGTTTTTATTGAAAATTTACTTAATGCTCAGTGCAAATAAGGTTTGATTGGTCTTCTATTTTCTTGGGAGAAAGGAATTCCAGCTCCAGGGATCTGCCCCTGCTTTCTCCCGCCTTCCTAGGATGGTGCTTGCCAGGGAACCCGGCCTTCCTCAGCCCTCACTGACTCCAGCCCTGCTTTTCCTCCAGGATGAGAGCCTGTGCTAAGTCAGTGTTGCTGTCGCACTGGCTCTTTCTAGCCTACGTGTTAATGGTGTGCTGTAAGCTGATGTCCGCCTCAAGCCAGCACCTCCGGGGACATGCAGGTAAGCCCTTTAAGCTCATTATGCACTACTGAGATAAATTAATACAACCCCTCCAAACGTCAGAGTCCACATATTAGACACAGGTAACTGATGTGAGCTTCTGATGGTGTGTAAATAACTAGAGGAAGCATGAAATATGGCAGAGTAACACAGTTTAATGCTTTAGTGCTTAAATAGTCCTTTAAAAATATTTTTCAGGCTTTTAAAAACTTTTGTTTTCTTGGGCACACTTTTATTTTTATAGCACTTTTTCTCAAGGAATCCCAGAAAACCAGCAGCAATTTGTGTGGTTGGCGTGTGTGTGTGTATACATGTCAGTCCATCTGTCCATCCATCCATCCATCCACCCACTCCTGCAGCTTCCTTAGAAGTAGAACATCTTTATGATAAACTTCAACTAACACTTATCGGGCTTTAGTGAAGGGAACAGTCAGATAATTTAAGATCTTTTTGAGATATGTGGAGAAAATATGCTACATGTTTTTTTTTTAAAAAAAAGACAGAAAAGAGAAAAAGCTGTGGTAACTTTTGTAAGGGACTTAAAATAGGTGTTGTCTAAAGATTTAGAGGCAGTCATTCTGATAATATTCTGATCAGTCATTCTGATAACAGTGAAACTCATATCTCTGCATTGCTGATTTTTAAAGGCGAGATCAAAACCGTCAGCTACAGATCAGTTTGTGTGTTTTTTTTGTGTTTGTCCTTTCTTTCTTACATCAACATTTAAAGTAACACAGTGGAAACTCCTCAGTGAATTGTGTTTTCCTGAATAATTCATATTTGTCATTGGACTTGTTGTCAATTAATTTACTCTCTCAGCTTTGGTAATCTGAGGCATGGCAGTGCCAGAAATGTTTTGACTTCTTTGGAAAAGAGTAATGCCTGAACCCTAAATCGTGTATGGGTCAGAATTATAAATTCTCTCTCCAAAGGTCTTGTGTATGGAAAGTTCATGAGATAGTCTTACCACCAAATATATAACATGTTATACTTTCCACTTCTTTATTCTGATATTTTAAGGTTAGTCATAATTTAAGGCTCAAGATAATTTTTAAAATCTCACACAACTCAATTTTTGCTCCTCAAGTGACAGTTCCAAGAAGATGAGAAAAATAATGATTGCAGTTTCAGCAAATCAGCATAAAATCAATACCATTTGGCTGCTGTGAAGTACCCACAGCTAGTTGGTTATTGTGCTGTACCTATTTTTATGAGTTTGTTCATGAGGATAGAGTTCGAGGTCCTCGATCTTATCTGTTTTCTTGAGTGGAGTTTAGGAGTCAGATTAGTTGACAGGTGAAGTATTTCAGTGGGATTACCACGCACTCTCATTCATGTTATAAATTTTCTCTAATGATCTTCAGGGAATGAAAGTCCATGACCCTTGCAATGTCCATGTGGCATTTTTGTCCCAATTTAGTGCTTAGCTGATGGAGAACTCAGGACCGCCAGAATTAATTGGGGCAGTGCACTGAGATCCTGAGAAACTCCGGTCAGATTTTCACTCTGCTGTGGGTGTATTACATGGAAGTCTGACAGTGGGAGCAAGTTGCAGAGAGTTACCTGCAGAAGGCTGTGTCTGAGTGTCCAGAAAGGCTCCCGGCACTGTCCCATGGGCTTCGTGGTTAGTGCTGGTCAATTAAATAAATGGTGGCACTAGGAAACCCTAGTTAGAAGTTGGATGCTTTTTATGGCTTTGATTAGAAGAGTGGATGTTGATTGCTGTGTGTAAACAAGGAGGTATCTTACAACCCTATCTCCACCTGCCTGGCTAAGAGACACGGAAGAAGGTGGGAATCTCCCCCCAGTTTTGGGAGATGGGGTGTTATGGTAGGTGTGTATCAAAGATTTAATTTTCGTTTAAGCATTAAAAAAAAAATAAAAACCCACCTAATTTTCACAGGTTGGGTGGTGAGACTCTTTCTTAAAGACAAATAGCATTAATACATTTCCACAGAGTCCAGAGGTAGTATTTCTAAGCGTCTAAAAAACACAAAAGACTGCTTTTGTTGTTTTTAAAGTCTATTTGCCATCATAATTGAGCAGGAGATCACATACACATATAGGACTGTGTAGTTTCAAGCTGTAGAAAAGGTGAAGGGGCCAATTGGCAGGTTCGTTTCTTTTAAAAGGAAGCCAGGGCTAACTCTTGTTATTTCTTCAACCAGCAATTTGTCCTTTTGTTCCTTTTTTTTTTTTTTTTGGCTGTAAGCAGTGCATCACTTCCCCACAAGGGGGCAGCAGATATGTTTTGTGCAGCGGAAAGATGCCATCTGGAAGGAAGTTTCGGAAACTCGACTCCTGTGGAATTAATGATTTAGGGATCTTCCTACAAATTTTATCCGATGTAGACACGAGTGGTTGGGACACAAAGCACCTTACAACTTTAAGATTTATTCCTGGGAATACTAGGAGACTTCAAAAATTCAGATTTTTGTCCTTTAAAGATGGAATCATAGCTAATTTTCTGATGGAGCTGGAGTTGGGAACTTGGGTGCTATTGATTTATACGTTAACTTTAATAGTTCCATTTCCCTAGAGAACTTTGAACATGACCTGGACTGCACTATTTCAATTCCACAAAATGCTGTGGTGCTTGGTGACTATTTAATGTCACTTTATGCCAATGTAATCAGTTGGCATAAAGTCCCTGGAAAAACTGGGGCACACCTGGAAATGAGGCAGGAGAGGAAATCAAATGTTGAGGGGTCTAAAGTCAAACGTAATTCTGGTTCTGGTACATCCTGGCTGTGTGGCCTTATCCAGGCCACTTAACCTCTCTGAACCTGTTTCATCATCTGTAAAAATGGAATGATATCCATGCTTTTTTAATTTGGAGTTATTGGAATAACTGAATAAGGAAAAGTAGGTGAGGGGATTAGCACATAGTCAACATTCCATAAGTGGCAGCTATTTTCACATTTGGAGGCATCTCTACAATGAGTGTGGAAAGGTTTGCATTCCAGGAACGGCTGAAGACGGTGAGCATGGGTAGGTAGATGTGGTCAGAGCCTTTAGGGTTTGAAGCTTTCTCATGTGTAAGAGAAAAAGGTTTGTTTTTTCATTGTTCTAGAAAGCTGACTGTGGCAAAGAAAGTCGCTTTATGAAGACTGAGGTTTCAGCTCAAACTTAAGAAGGAGAGAAAGGCTTCAACAAGCTGGGAACAGAGTGACCCAGAAGGGTGTTGAGAGCCGTTTTATTTGCTGGCCTTGAGCTAAATCTGCTGTAGAGAGGATGTTTTACTGATTGGGAAGTAGTTAGATGTCAAGAATTGTGAAGGGTCTGAGCTTTTACCGTCCTTGCAAGCTAGTAGGTTAGCTGGATGCTGGGCAGAAGGCATGAGATGCTTGGGTCAGAGACAAAAGATTTTATTTTACTTTAATCAATCAATTAATTTTTTTGAGATGGAGTCTCCCTCTGTCACTTAGGCTGGAGTGCAGTGGTGCAATCTCGGCTTACTGCAACCTCTGCCTCTCAGGTTCAAGCAATTCCCCTGCCTCAGCCTCCTGAGTAGCTGGGATTATAGGCGCCTGCCACAACGTCCAGCTAATTTTTGTATTTTTAGTAGAGATGGTCTTTCACTATGTTATCCAGGCTGGTCTTGAACTCCTGACCTCAAGTGATCCACTCACCTCGGCCTCCCGAAGTGCTGGGATTACAGGCCTGAGCCACTGTGCCTGGCCCGAGAAAAAAGATTTTATTACTCATGGCACAGGAAGCAGCATGAGCTTCAGGTTTGCTTCAGTTCTTCTTTCATTCTTGGGCAAGTTATGAAACCTCTTTGGACTCAGCCTCTTTCTATGTAAAATGAGAATAATAAAAATAATAAAAAGTAAACCTCAGAGTTGTAATAAGGAATCAATTAATACCTGGGAAATGCTGAGAACTGTGTTTGCTTAGTGTGTGCTCAAATGCTAGTTATCTTTATTTAGACCTATCTTCTTCTCTTGAATGTTATCTATTTTGTAGAGGTTCTGTATTGTTCAAATTTGTGGAAATTTAGGTTTTCTGTTTTTTTTTTTTCCCTGTTATAAATGGTTATGCAAAATATGCATGTTGTGATTTTGTGTTTTGATGGTTTATGTTATTTTTAACTTAGGGTAAATTTTTTGAAGAGCGATTGTTGCATCCAAGTTTGGGCCCATGTTTTCTGTCCCTTATAATGGCTGAAATTTATAGGAACCCTGCAAATACTCTTGACTGGATGGACTGTTTTAGCTCTAATTTTCTACAAGAAACTAGGTAATTTCAAAAATACTAATTGAGTGGGGCATATAACATCGAATACAGGAGTCTCTCCGAGGCTTAAATTTGAGATAATATTTGTGAAAATGATAAAATTGTATGTACAAATGGCTATTTGTACTTTGCTGGCAGAAATGAATTGTACTTACACAGATGAGTTTGAAAAATGATTTGCCTGCATTGCCTACTTTCTGACACTAGGGGGTAGGCAAGGCTTATCATAGCTAAATAGAACCACACACGTAATTTTGCATGTTATAAAGCCGTGTTGAAAAAAGTAAAAGGAAACAGAAGAAATTAGTTTTACTAACACATTTTATTCAACCCAATATATTCAAAATATTATCATTTTAACACGTGACCCTAGCCACATTTCAAGTGCTCAATAGCCACATGTGGTTAGAGCCTACTATAAATTAGTACCGTGAACTAATAATGAGTTAGGTCTTAATGTTGCTTTTTTAAAGATTAGATTTATGGATTATTTTAATTTTCATGGGTCAGTCATAGAGCGCACTGTTTTATCTCTATTTCATTTAATTTATGTTTTATTTAGTTATTTCTTTCTTTCTTTTTTTTTTAAACAAATGACTACTAAATTTAGAAAAAGTACCCAGTAAGTGGGATTTGTAACCTCAAGTCATAAAGAATGGGGAAGAGTTCTGTTTCCTGATGAATTACTTATGCTATTATTCCCTGCAAGAGTGTATTTTTAGGGAGAGGGAAGTGGCAAAAGTAATTTGACTGTGTGTGTG